GCCCGCTCCAAGTGCATAGATAATAATTTGTAATTTTGAGGCTTAGATACGTAACCTCAGACATGGCCTTGAAGTTTATATGAGTCAGTTTTGATTTTTTTTAATATTCTGAGGTAATCGGAATAATAGCATGAGTATAACATGAGCATAAAACATTTTCAAGAATTATTGGGCATGGGCAATTTAGTAGCTTAAGCATGAATTTCAAAATGACTTCCAACTAAATTTACTACAATAAATCTTGCTTCATTTTATTGTTTTACTTTCACACTTAATCTGTATTGGGGTCATTTTTGAAATCTTTTTCAAAGCAGCCTACTCCCTAAGAATATCTAATATTTTGAGCTTGTTTTTTATATTTCATTAGATGGAACAGCATTCCTCTTTACAGAAATTCAGCGCTTTGAGAACTTTGCTCATCTACCCCCTTCGTCTGAGACATTCAATATGAATCAATGTGGTGCTGTGCCTCTATTGGCCGATACCTGTCAGATAAAAATTGTCCGCCAGCATTGCCTCTCGATTGGAGGCATCAGGATCAGTCAATTTCCAAACAAAAAAATATTTTACGATTGGGCTAAATCTGGTATGTTTTAGTAAAGCACAATTTTCTTTTAATTTCCCCGATGAATTTGTGCATAATTACCTGAAGACCATGATTGCATGGCTTCCCGATCGTTCGTATGTAAGTAGTTTCGAAATTTGTTCTCGCATTAAATGACCAATGTGTCTACGCTTTGTGCCGTTTTGCGGCCTGTCAGCATCATATCTATGTGCGGCTATGCTATGTTGGCTGGGCAGTAGACCTCTGGTGTGGGCATAGGGTATGCTGACTCACCTGTTGGCCGTACGCGGGTATTCTTGATGTCGTTCGGGCTCATGCGTGTAATTCTCTTGCGCATGTTCTCCGTCCAGGCGTCATTATACGCGCGTTGTCATGCGGAATTGTACTGTTGTATCGGCTTTTCTACTGGCCGGGCGTATTATACACTGTTACACTGCACCCTGGATGAGAACAACTTTTGGGAAAGCAAGGATATGTGAAATTCAATGGAAACGTCAGATCTACTCATATCATTGTGGGAAATTTCTACTACCAGTGCTTCATCACCTTAAACAAAATAGATGGAATACATCCGATATTCTCGATCGTTGTTGCATACAGTTAGATTATAGTTTACTCATTCACATCTATAATAAAAGCTTGTTAAAACAATTGGTTTCTCAGCCTCATCAGAGAGCCACTACGAACTATGCTGGCCAAAAGTTGTTTGCGTATACCTGTGCGATATGGTCTGTGCTATGATAAAAATACCCTCCTTCGGTTAAAGTAGAATGTGCTAAGCAGTCTTCTGTCCATGTGCATGTATTTTTATGTGTCTGCACTTCATATATCAGAGGTATTCTCCCTATTTCGTTTAAATTGAAAAAGGACTGGCGATTTTATTTTCCCAAAGGCTTTACTTTTCCAATAGCTTATCTTCACAAAAGGTTTTCCCATCCAGAATGGATCTGACTAGATCTGATCAGCACCCCTGAAGGAACTTGAATGCGAGTAGAACAGTATATAGTTGTACTATACTAGACACTACGCCAAACTTTTACGAAAGACCCTGGGTCGCAGGACAGAGGTGAATAACGATGAAAGCCATACATTTCGTACAACACTTTGTTTGATGGGATTGTCGATGAAGCGAAGTTCAATTTGAAATAGCATTTAGCTATATTACTTATTTTTGCTTATTAATAGCCTTCGAGACTACTAGTAGATCATATAAATGAGATGCATTATGTCAGTTTCGTTTAAGATGATGAGGACCTAACAGTTGAATTTTCCCATCACAGAAAGTGTTATGAGAAAGGCCTTCCTTGAAATGTATATCTTCCTTGTGACACAAGAGCGCTCATAGTAGTGTGGCGTAGTGTCTAAAGCGTCGAGACAACACACTAAATTTCCCGCGTTCGATTTCCACCAGAGATGCTGGTCAGATCTGGATTAGGTTGGACTAAAGTCCACCTTGGAGTAGAATAGATTTTCGGCAGCAAGACTATGAATGGAAGGCTATTCAATCAAAACGTGAGGCCTACTCATATAATTGTGAGAAAATTCAACTATTGATTCTCAATCACCTTAAATGAAGTAAAGTGAATGCATCTCATATTGACGACCTACTGTTAGACTCAATAAATATTTATGCATTAAAATATGCTAATTTAGGCTTAAAAAGTCTACAGCGATATCTTGAGGTATGGTATAGAGAATGCAATTTTTTTATTTGAGTATGATTTGCCGACCCAGTTTTTAGCCACCACTACTATTTAGTAAGTTAAGGCACACGTCTTGTTAAATTAATGTTCATCCTTGTGTCAAATTAGATGTATGAAAATCGTGATGGCATTGTCACAAAACATGTCTTGCTGATTCCTTTCTTAAAATAGCTTACTTCACTTCCAATTAAATGTGATAGGTTTAAACAATTTTAATTGAGTCTAATATCCGGCCAAATAACTCAATACCTTCAAATATCCATATTCGGATTATATAAACAGCATAAACGGACGAGCTTGATAATTTTTTTAACAGTTTGGTTCATATACTTGTAATAATGGATATGTGGATTATAACCAACAAAGGCCTAGCACGTTTTCACCTAAACCAAGGCAGGTTTTAACGAGGATTGTGGAGACCAGAATATACGAATAAAATCCAACGATGTCTGACATAGAGGAACCACTTCATCAAAAAAGTAAAGTGTAAATGAACTTAATAGCTTGAAACCACTGGGTTAATCGCAAAAACTCTTCATTGAATATAATATTGGCTTAACCTTCTGTAAGTGGCCCTATTAACTGAACAAATCAATCGAGCTCATTTCGTAGCATATGCTCTGCCATTGAAGACATGTGTTCATCAAACGTCGTATCGTTAAATGGGTATATTTCTAGAAATTTTCGGAGAAAATGACTGGATTATTGGACATAGATCAACTATAACATGACCATATAAATGCTTTTCCTGAAGAAACCTAAATTATATATATAGTTCATCATTTTATTCAGACTAACATTTAATATGGATTGATGTGCATGACTAATTAAAGTATCTTTCTTCTTCCTTTAGAATGTGGGGCTAAGTTCCGTGATGAAATGTGCAAAATTCGGAGCTTAAATAGTTACGTGGCAACCTTTACTAAAGATCTTTTCTAAAACCTGGACTCTTTATTGGGCCATTTCTACGTCTTATTAAGAATATTATAAAAATTAAATAGACTGACCTCAATGATATGTCCATATTTATTTTCCCTTTATACTTTGAGTCCGATCTCTGCATAATTTTGCTGTAGATATCCACAAAGCCCTATTATTTTGCAGTTTGGTGCTTTTCTTAATTTAACAAAAATGTATCTTAAAAGACTCGAATACTTATTTTTATATTTTTAAACTATTTTTATTCTTGGCATCTTTATCGACGGCTGGCACATGTACATGGTAATAAATCGATTTTTCGCTAGAATTATCCTAGAAACTGTGACTATTGTTATTGGTTAATGAATTCAGCCTGATAAACAGTATCCCCAGTGCTTTTAGCCTTATATACATAAATTTTACAAAAGTGCATTTGCTTGTATACTAAACTTTCTATAAATCTACAATAGAGGAGTTTCTAGTTTAGGGAA